TCCCAAACAACCCAACCTAATGAGTACCCCCCAGTAATCAAACGTAGCAAGGGAAACTCGCTTATTTATAGATGATTTCCTAGCTGTAAACTATAAATCTCTATTTGGTTCGGGGACCCGCTCCCGCTTGCCATGTTTAATGACACCAGGAGGTAAATCATCCCACTAATTATACTAATTGTTGGTTATGAATATATATATATATAATTATATATATATAGTTATATATATATAGTTATACATATATATATATACACATAATTATATATCCCATTATAATCCATGAATGACAACCAATTTTTCCAAACAACTGAACCCAATATCCATGAATCACCTTTCATCACCATCACTAACCATCGTGAACCATTATGAACCATACTAAGCATTGGTAACCACATTCGTTTATCACCATTAATTAACCACCATTAACCATTAACCAGAAATATTCACAACTAACCATCCTTATCCACAGTTAACCATCATTAACCATTGTTAGCCATTCTTAATCCCATTATGCACCATTAATGGGTTAACCATTAATCACCATTATTAACCATTAATGATTACTAACCATAGTTATTAACCCATTATTAACCATCATTATTAACCATCATTATTAACCATCATTAAGCCGCCATGGTTTTCCCAGGCGAACGCACCTCACGCTTCTCCGACTCTGACTCTGCCAGCGCCAGCGCCGGGTCGCGCGAGGCGATCGCAAAACCAAAAGCCGACGGGGAATGGCTTTTGTTGATAGTGTTGCATAGGCCCATGGGCTATATATATATATACATACATTATACGTATAGAATCGTATATACATACGTATGTGTATATATATACGTCTTATGTATAATATGCACATTTCATTATATATATATATACATAATGATCTCACGTCGTGACGTCACTGGAATGATGGTTAGTAGTTAAGGTGAATCATCCCCAAATGGTCGTATGATAACAGCTATTTTCAGGGTAGTGATTCGTATAAATCAGCCAGATATATTGTATGGGCTATATAAATATATGTATGTATACGTAGCTTTGTTTGAATCTTCATTTTTTTTAATATCTCTGAGCCATTATAGTGTTATACTCACACAATTCTATTGGAGATATGATATAGTTCTACCATGATATTTGACCCCCTTTGCCCCATTGCAAATCATGTAGAGAGGCATTACAAGAGATTTTTTCAAGATAATTATACCCAGAATTCACTTTGATCATATGTTATATCGGGATGGGTCAATACCTATTAATACCATTTTTAGTGGGATGAACATCCATTTACCAGCTATTTTGGGGTTCACTAGGTACCAGGGTTTTGACCCATCCCCATATGTAGAAATATATACAGAATTATTCATCTCAAAAGGGCTGTGAACTTTGACCAAGTGTTGACCTGTCTGACATGGTCGAGCAACGAACCACCGAACCAGGGTCGCCGCAGAAGTCAGTGGCTTGGCACCAGCGACTGGCGCCGGAGTGCGTTTCGGGATTCGAGACTGGAGAATGACTTGATAGAACCATATACTGTATATACATATATATATATAGTGACGGACAATCACTTAGAACGTATTTTGGAAAAAAAAATCTGAATATTACTGCTTTTTTTACGTTCTAAGCCTTGCACTTAGAACGTCGAAAACCATACACTTAGAACGTCCAAATATCAAGATTCATCACTTAGAACGTACCGGGGATTTAACACTTAGAACGTGTCTAGGTTGGAGGGTTATGTTTACTGTGCATGGAAGGGAACCATCACAGTTGATTTGAAACGGTGGGTACCTCATCGATTTTCTCGAAGGTTTTGGATTGTAGAAGTATTTATATTATATACATTTATAATGTATGTATTTATATATATACAAGTATATATACATATCATATGGTAATTGTTCATAATTATAGTGGCGGACAATCACTTAGCACGTTCTAAGTGTTGGTTTACGTTCTAAGTGATAAATGGGCCTAAGTGATATTTTGACGTTCTAAGTGATGAATTTTCCCTACGTTCTAAGTGATGAAATTTTGCTACGTTCTAAGTACGAAAAAAAATGGAAAAAAAATTACGTTCTAAGTGATTGTCCGTCACTATATATATACATATATATATACATATATATATATATACATATATAGATAGATAGATAGGTACTGTTTGTATATTATGTATATATATATACATGTTATAACCAAGATATCATCGGCAAGGCGGGTTGAACATCACTTCAAACGGTGGTGGATTTGCGGTTAAGATTGCGAAACCCTCCGCAATTCTGGTGTGACCTCTACCAAAGATCTGCGAATTTGTGCTGATTTGCACATCTGCCACACATTTTAGGGGTATCTAATTATGAACCATTAGTATCCATTAGTATGAAGCCTCCAATTTTAGGTATCTGATTATGAAATTTAACGTAGCTATGGAAGCCATGGTCCATTTGGTTATGATGATTTTCCAGAGCCAAAATGAATAGAAGCTAAAAAAATGAAATTCCCAGGTACTACCCTCTGGTAAACTAACAGTTTGCTATTGAAAATTGCCATTTAGTTCGTTGATTGACCCATTAAAAAGGGTGGATCTTTCCATAGTTATTTGGCTGTTTACCAGAGGGTAAATCCTATTAAATCCCATTAGATCCCATTAAACCACCATAAAATTCCGTTAAATCCCATTAAACCATGAGTTTTTCCAGCTACTGGGGTAGATTTGGGGTAGTTCATGGTTCAGATCAATCAGCCACTGGGTTACTGCTTGCTGTGCCAGTGATGAGCCTCGGCCAGGCAGAAGTTCTGGAAGCAGATGATGTTTCGAAGTCGCTGGGACGTTGACTTGGAGAAACCAACTTGGGATATATGGGTATGGATCAATACCTATTAATACCATTTTTAGGGGGATGAACATCCATTTACCAGCTATTTTGATGTGAACTACAGGGGTACAAGGTTTTGACACACTGCCATATCAACCAATCAAGTTGGGATACATTATCCCAACTGGATATCAACTAGAGCAAAACCAAATTGATATATCAACCAACCTTTCAATCTTTTGCTCTCAAATACGGGATATAGAAACATTTTTAAACACATATTTTTTTGCACACAGTTTTTTGAGCAATATGCTTTGTGTTTTTTGTGATCAATGCGGATATATTGACTGAACCAGCTACAGCAAAATTCACCTGTAAACAAATGTGTGCGTCTTACCAATCCATTCCGTCCCATCCCATTCCATCCGACTTACATATGATATGTGTATAATCGACACATGCATACGTAAACTGTATATATATATAAACATACATATACACATACACATACATATTGATCATACACACACATCACAATAGCAATACTTATCATCATCACCATCACCCATCATCATCATCATCATCACCATCAGCATCATCACTGCTATTATTATCATCACTACTATCATTATCATCACTACTATTATTCCAAAATTGGTATTATTATTAGATTCCTGGATTTACTAGTATTATTATCATCACTACTACTATTCCACTCATATTAGAGTACTATTAGACATACGTTACTATTATTGGATTACTATTACATTAGTATATTACTGGATTATATTATGACTATTAGAATATACTATGTAATAGTAACTATTAATAGTTCATATATTACATATATTACTATTACATTAGTATAATAGTACATTAGTGATTACTATTATTATATTATATTACTCCGAATATAGTAACTATTATTAGATTACTATTACTATGAGTAACTATTCCACTAATAATAGTAACTCATATAGTAATTATCTATTATATTATTAGTATATATATATACTATTATTATTAGTGATTACTATTATTAGTGATTACTATTATTATATTAGTAACTATTAGTAACTATTACTATTAGTAACTATTCCACTAATAATTAGTAACTATTATATTTATTATCCTACTATTAGTATATATATATACTATTATTATTAGTGATTACTATTATTAGATTACTATTACATTAGTATATTACTGGATTATATTATATTAGAATATACTATGTAATAGTAACTATTAATAGTTCATATATTACTATGACATTAGTATAATAGTACATTAGTGATTACTATTATTATATAGTAACTATTATTAGATTACTATTACTATGAGTAACTATTCCACTAATAATAGTAACTAATATAGTAATTATCCTACTATTAGTATATATATATATACTATTATTATTAGTGATTACTATTATTAGTGATTACTATTATTATATATATATATTATCCTACTATTATATACTATTAGTATATTACTATTGTTACCGTTCTAATCACTGGATTGAACTCCCCCACTGTTGGGATTCACAGGTGAGGCATCGGCGCCCGACTTCAGGGAGGCCACCGTGACCCGCTGTGCCAAACATGGCATTTTTCGGTGTCTGTTTTTTTTTTTTAATAAAATCCTTAAGGAGGTTATACAGTATCAGGGGTATAAAACTTTTTTTTTTTCCGTTTTCCGTGTTTTTTTTTGCATCAACAGCTTGAATGATGCAGCACCATCAAACACAACGGGATTTCATCACTGATGTTTGGTGTCCGCCAGCGTCGAATCAGCACAGTGGATCGCCAGATCATTTCACCACTGGTGATGTTTCACGAAAAACGTCGCCATGGAACATGTTTTTGAAAACAACTTCAAAATGCTGGATGTTTCTCGACTTATGGTGAGCTACAAAAAAAGAACTGTCGCCTAATCTAAATTCCAAAAAGTCATGAGCTGTGATGGTTTTGTTGATTCGCGCTGTGAAAAGATTTGGCTGATTGGTGTCAGAAACCCTATATAAGAATCATTGTTACTAATAATAGTTCATTAGGAATATAATAGTAATAGTGATACCGTAGAATCATGTGATATCACTATGATTAGTATAAAATCTACTTCGAATTTGTCAAGGGCACATCACACACACCCCGCGCGTTCGCCCGCGCCATGCCTGCGGGCCATGGCCGTGGTTACGAAGTGACGGAAGTCGCAGGTTCCGGACATCATGAAATCCCATGAAGCTAAGACAAATGAAATCCCATGGGTTTTGCGGGGATATCCCCTGAAAAATAGCCCTAAAAAATAGGCCAAAAATATATGGTAGGTACCTCCATTTTAGGATCTTGTCATAGATGGGGGCGTTCACTAAGTGGCTTATTGCTGCCACCATTTTGGATGGGTAATAGTGGTCCAGCCAAACATGAATCGTGTTTTGCAACATGATCCCAGAGATTGCAACACTGAGTATGGGATGGTTAGTTTTAGGATGTTTTAGGGTCCTAGGATGTCTTAGGGCTTTACGTTTTAGGCCTTGACGGCGGGGTTTTAGGGTTTAGGACTTAGGCCCTGCGAAGGTCTTTAAGCATGTCAAGGCTTAGTGATTCCCCAGAGGGCGATGGTCGGAGCAGCCATTCACTCCATTGATGTCGTCAAAATCACAAAAAACATATAAGGTTAGTGAAGTATGGCATGATTCAGCCAGATAGTGTTCACATACCTTTTTTTATTTTACACTATATATATATAATATATATATATGCATCTATCCTCACTGCTAGCAAGTTTCAGCGGTCACATCCTCCATTTGATTTTTGGACAGTGCCATATTGTTTGTGATATATATATATATTGATATATCCAATCATTCCCATGGTGGTCCATGGTGTACACTCACTATGTTGGTTGAAATATAATGATTTTCAAGCTTTCGCCAGTCCCAATCAGAGAATGTTACATCCCATGTTTGACATTACAATTTTGTTGGCTATATGAAACACACCCCAGTGATTATCAAGCCCTATATATCCGCATGTTCCGCAGTTAAGTCTGCGTTTTTATTCCTAAAAATCACAATTACAAAATGGGGTCTTCCCCGCAAATAACTAATTTTAAATGGTAAACATAATTCTTTATGATCCATTGGGTTTTTCCCCCCTAATAAGACACGTACCAAACGAAGAGGGTGCATTATTTCACCAAAAACAGGGGGTCTCATTTGACCAAAAATAGATCATTTTACCAAATGAGCCATGTAGTGCAACATATCCCTATCCAATCTCATTTAACTGGGTTCATCGACTTCCCTACGGCTTTGAATCAACCCCAATAAGCCAGGTAGTATTTTACTCCGAAATACCCAATCAATCATTTCTCAATCATATCCTTAGATCTTTGATTCAATATCTCTAAAACTCAGATCTTTGCTCCTTTACCCAAGTTCCCATCAAAAATCCATTTTTTCACGATCCACTGCTTGGTGACTTGGTGGTTTCAAACATGGCTTTTATTTTCCATTTCCAAAAATGGGATGTCATCCTTCCCATTGACAGTTGATTTTCCATAAAGGCCATGGTTTGGGCGTGGTGGCACTGCGCGACTTCAAGGCCAATGAGTTCGTCTTCCAGGCGTGGTTGGAACGGGCGAAAAAATCACCAGCCGTTGGAATTTTGAGAAAAACATAGCATAGGAAATCAGAATGTCATAGCGAGGTAAATGTAGTGAGGTTGATGATCAATGTCCATATACGTTCTTAATGATAGTTTATGTTGATAGGCACTGATATTATGTCAATGATATATCGCCAAGAGGGATTCAACGAAGCATTTTATAGGGGCATCATACTGTCATAATGATATAGTACTTTCCGTATGTTGTTTTAATGGTTGTTTTTTTCTTTTAATACATTCGAGTTATTCGCAGGTTGATATGGCTATGGACAATTCCCGAAGCTGGAGGTTTTAATGGGAAAGTCACTGAACTGAATGGTATTTTTTTTCATGCCATGTTTGATGATTCAATTTCCATGTTTGATTGCCAGAGGGTTTTTCATCAGATATATGATTTCTATAGCCAACAATACATATTATATACACATATACATATTATATATATATATATCTATACGTATTATATATATAATATATATATATATATGTACATATTATATATATGTATATATATGTACATAAGTATAAATATATATATAATATGATGTTATGGTTTTATCCCCAAATAGGGGAGGCTCACTAACGTGGCAAGATCCAGGAGGAAATTCAGCATGAGGCCGGATTTAAGAGGCCACCGAAAGGACTTCACCAGCAGAAATGGTTGCATTAATCAGGATTCAAAAACGGCAAAGAACGGTGGAAAATGAATGTATACCGAACGATTTTTTTTCCATACAGCAACAAATCCCTTTTTGGCAATCTACCACGTGAAGATTTTTGATGAGCTGGCATGTCTTTGGACGTGCTTTTTTCTGTGATTTTTTGACGCAGCATCCATATGAGTCAAGTTCCCAAAGGTAAATCGGGGAGTGCACAGCAAACCAGGTGCTTTAAAAAACCACTGGCCTGGACCTTTGGCGACGAAAGAAACAGTCTGCGCGCATGCACCTGTTTTGACCGCTGGTGTTTGGTTTCCCAGAGCTTGTCCCGGTTGGTGCCCTGTCGTTTGTTACAGTCCTTGCCTACTACGGTTGCTCTGTGAGTGCCTTGTTTTGCTCTTCATGCAAACGCGGGCGGATTTTATTGCATGTATTGGTGAAAACGTTTCTAAGAAACATGGTTTGACCAATCGAGATGTTTGCGTGGCTTGTTGTGACATGTGCGTTGCAAGTGGATTGGCTTCTTTGGCGGATTCTGCTTTGGTCGCCTCGGACTCTAACGCTTCTGTGTGCGCCGACTGGCTTGCCAAGAAGTTGCTCCTTGTCACTGGTCAGGCTTTGTGTTCTCGCCGTGTTCCCCAGCTTCTTTGGACCGTTTTGTTGCACATGTTTCTCCTGTGCTCCGCGTGGTTGTTCCCTAGTGAAAACAGGTGGCGGGGCACCTCGCCACCCGTCGAAAAGCTATGGGCTTGCTCTGCTGTTTGTCGGTCCTTGTTGTGGTTGGCAGGCCAATATCGGTGCCATACTGCAAGGAAAGTAGGCCAACTCATGGAGCCCCGCTTTCGCTGGGTCTTGTGGCGCCAATGCCGACCACGGGAGTGGCCGCATGTGCTGACGAGCTTCTCCTTTTGCAGTTGCAAGCGGTTTGCCCGCAAGTTGACACTGCTGACCTGTATGGTTGTGGCGGCCAAAACCCTTTTGTCTTGTATGCATGGGCGTCTCGTTGTTCTTACTATGTCGGCATTGCTTCGGTGCAAAGAAAGCCAAAAAAGGCCTCCCCAGGCCCAACCTGTCGCTGGCTTGAACACATGTGTGACTTGATTCGCATTCACACCCTTGAAAGTAACAAGCTGAGATATAAACTGATCAGAAGACTTCGGCCTGAAGACACTTTTTGGCTGGTTTGCAGGGTGGGGCCTGAAGCCCGGATCAGAGCCATGGAAAGCTTTGAAATTGCTACCCGAAGACCCGGGTGTAATGTTCCTATGTGTCACAACCCCAAAGCCACCAAGGTTGTCAGTCCCACCCGTTCTCGCCCTCCAAAGCATGCGAGGAAACCTTCGCCGTTTGTTGGTCCTTTCGATTGTGCTGCAAGCCGTTTGTCTATGGACAAGTTGGCATACAAAATGGGAAGGCCGAAGGCTTCTTTGGTTGTGCATGATGAGGCCAGTAATTTTTCACTTGCTTACTTGGCTTGGGTTCGTAAGTTGTTTGTATTGCATGGCACGTTTGGTCCTTATGACATTTACGACCCTCGCTTGGCTGGTCTGCTTGTGCGTTGGTGTGGTAGCAAGGGTTCTGAACGTGTCGGTTGTGGCCCCGCTGCTATTTGGAAGTCTGTTTCTTTGCTGAAAGGGCGAAGAGCAAGGGCCATGGCGACCCGTAATGGCAGCCGCGAGCTTGTTGCCAGAAACCTCCCCAAAACTTTTGGCGTCACGTTCAAAGTTCCCAGGGAAGCTTGCTTGCGCGTTGTGAAGCGTGCTCTTATCCATGCTGTACGTTTTGACCCCCAATGGAACCATGATGAAAAAACTTGGCTTCTCTCTCGCCTTCGCCTTGCTGGCCCCAGTGAGAAGCATAGTCACTTAGTCGTTTGTGTAACGCCCCTGCGGTCAGCAAACGTACTGGCAGGCGCAGGAACTCGTGGGCATGCCAGGCCGCCAGGCTCTTGCTTGAGTAGTTTTGACAAAGCCAGCAACCCAGCAACCTCGATCGTGTTGAAAAGATTTGGGATGTTCCTTTGCGTCCTTCTGTTCAGGATGACCGGCTTGCAATTTCCGCTTGTGTCCGTCGATGTTGTTCTTGTATGTTCTTGTCTTCGTGTCGACAGTTGGCGTGCGTGCGAAGCTGTTTCCATGGCGGATGAGAGTTTGCAAACCGACCCCTGCTACATGCGTGAGCAACGGGTCTTCAAACAAACTCTCAGCGCTTACGCGTCCTACACTGCTGACATGTCAAGACGACCGGGCGAGGGTTCCGATTGCTTGTTACCAATGGCTTTTGTTGAAATTTGCATGCCTGGCCCCTGCTTGGGAATTGACAACCTTGACCCCTGAGGAGGCAGAAACTTGGTGCCAACGTGTTTTTCACACTTTGATTCCTGACCACCTCAAAAAATTCTTCGGGGTTCACAGAATGTCTCATATTCTTCCCTATGACTATGGTACCTTTAAAGCAACATGTTTTTCCTGCGTAGCAGGCGGTGGGCCATGTTTGCTTGATTCATAGATCATGTTGTTGATGGGCTATATCGCCATTGTATCACCCTTGTATCACCTTTTAGTTCCATGCTTGTCCTATAAGTTCATCCCACCATACCCATGAAAAAGTTGCATGATTTCCCCACGTAATCGTGAACATGTCTGGTTAAATACTGTGGATGGTTGCGAAATCCTGCATCACCAAAAGGGTGGTTGAAACCGAAACAAAATGATGGGATGTTTACCACCTATCAACTGGTGATTCGCATTTCGCTGGCCCATCCACCGTATCGCAACCATCACCAATTTTCCCATCATTCTCCCATCATTCTCCCATCATTGTCCCATCATTCTCCCATCATTCTCCCATCATTCTCCCATCATTCTCCCATCATTCTCCCATCATCTTCGCGTGGCGCTTCGCGTGGGGCCAGGAATGCAGCCTGATGACGGTGAAGACCTACACGCTCCTGAGCGGCGTCCTGGTCCTCCGGCGTGAAAAGGTGCCCGAACTGGTCCTTGGTCGGGGGGTCCCACGGTACATATGTGGATTGAACCAACAGGAGTCCATGGTTGAACCAACAGAGCCCTGGGATTCAAGGCCTGAAAACCAACGGGAATTTTTGTTACAACAAAGATGGTGAGAATGTGATGGGACATTTTGTGGAAGATTGTCAACAATATGGATTCAGCCAACATTATATTGGGATTTCAGCGGAAGAAACGGGATCACACAGGTATAGCCCAAAAAAAAGAGTGAATTTGACCAACAAGAAACGAGGATTTCAGCAAGAAAACAACAGAATATAAGTGAGATAGTCCAAATTAAAATGACCAGTTCGTCATTGTTTTTCAGAGCCTTGATCAACATACACCTCACGGATCAAGATCCACCACCAATTTTCAAAAGCTTTGGGCATAGCTGATTTAAACCAAAACCAGTTGGAATATGTAGTACTTAGATCTATTCTTGGGTTCAACAAGACATTACATAAATTATGTGTATATAAAATTATGTGTGTATATATAATATTATAATATATTATATAATTATATATATATATACACATGCATATACATACACAAATCATATATTTTTTGTAACTTGATATTTCTATTGACATCTTGTATACTTCACTCTTTGCTTCAATCTTTGGCGCCTTCCTCACCAGGTGGAGACAAAGTACGACCTCCTCTCCGATGCCGAGCAGCGTCAGTACCGCAGCCTGCACCCCGTGGCCGACGGCGCCGCGGCCGCGGCCGCCTCCGAAACCGACGCCGCGCTGCGGCAGCGTCTGGGGACGAGTTCGGCCGGTGCGGCTCAAGCCGTGGCGGCGTTGAGTGCGCAGGAACATCTGAAAATTTGGGAGTCCTGTGGATTTCATTACTGTAACTTGATTGCTATTAGTATCTATTAGTGCTTTGAAGATGTTTGAGGTTGAGTGGTGGAAGTGGTGGAAGTGGTGTTGCAGGAGATTTTTTTTGCCCAAGAATAAGAGTGTCGCCAGCTGCGGTGTTTTTCTCCATGACCCAATGCCATAAACAACTATACATGACTGGGGATGGTTTATACAACCCATAAACATGAATTAACAGGGTGTTTTTGGGGATGGTTTAAGGTTAGGTTTACCACATTAGTGTATCTTGTGTATTTTGGGGATGTACCCTGGCCGGGATCAACAGCCGGGACCTTATCATCGACCCTCGGGATCTGAAAAAACCGTCCGAAACGTCGTCCGAGAGGTATGGAAATTCAGAAGTGGAAGGACTTTGATGTGAATTTCAGGTGTAATATACACACACCTGTATTTCCTCTCTCTCTCTATATACATATATATATATATATACATACAATTATATACAGATATCATCATATATCCCATATACGGGATGTTCATCCAAATTCGCCCATCTGCAGCGGGGTTTTCGAGGGGCCATGTCATGCATCAGCACTTTTCCCTCCCAGGTGACTCATCGGATGTGAAACGAAATCAAGTAGCCTGGCCCTGGGGATGTGGAATCAACCCATAGCCATAGCCAGATACCCTCAGGTAAACATACGCATAGCTATGGAAAGATCCACCATGCTATTAATGGGTAAATCCACTATTTCAATGAGCCATTTTCAATAGCTATGTTAAATTACCAGAGGGTATGAGTTATGCCAGTTATGCCAGCCATGCTTACATGTCGCAACAAGAATGGGGAAGAACTGTACAGTGTCATTAGTACAGATTTGCATGATTTAAGTTGGTTGGTTTAAGGTATCATTTTTTCTACCTTAGAATGCAAGCATCAGTGGTTCAAAACAGCTGGACGGTGGTTTCGATTTCAAGATATCCTTTTTGAGGCCGTTGGCAGCACCATGTCCCCATCACCTATTGATTTCTACTGTGTGGTCATTAGAGGGGCGAAAGATGGGGAAGCCGAATTGACCTGGTGGACCCCAGAAACTGCACTGGATTTACCCTCTGGTAAACTAACATAGCTATTGAAAATGGCCATAGAAATAGTGGATTTACCCATTAATAGCATGGTGATTTTTCATAGCTTTTTGATGCTTTTTGTATGTTTACCAGAGGGTAATTTGCTGATGTTTTTTTCACTAGAAATCAATCCACCATCTGAGGAATCTACTTCTTTTTTTGGCGGGGGTGCCCTCTGAAGATCCTTAAGTTACCGAAAGGCTCTATTTTGGCCAAGATTCACGGTTTCTTTGGAACCACCAATTTTAGATTCTTCTCTGCCTTTACCATCTTTACCCATGTAATTTGACGGTTTCCAGCCGGTTTATGAAGTGATGGTGGATCTTTTTCATTGTTTTAGGACAGGATTTTTGATGGAACATGTGAATTTCATGGGAATTTTATAGGAATTTCATGTTTTTAGCATTTGATGATCCTGTAAAATTAAACTTCCGTCCTGATTTCCCCGGATTTCTTGAGCATTTTATAGGTGATTTTCATTGGTGCCCTGAGGTTTTGCATTTGATGATATGCCCGGCCTTTCTGAGCGTTTTCACCGGTGCCTGCTATGCGTATCGATTTCAAGGGCAAATCACCAAGTCCATCTTGGCTGCTGGAGTCCTGTTCTTTGCACCTCGGAGAAAGAAAAGCTTGCATTTCCATATATAAAATATGTACATATTAATGTACTATATATATATATCATATTATTTATATGTATGATAATATATATATATATATCAGATTATTTATATGTATGATAATATATATATATACTGTATACATATATATATATATATTGCATGTTGATTCACCTTAGTAGAATGTGACATATTCCCCTTTCGACCTACAGGGAGCTAGATCCTTGCACCACCTGGTTTTCGACTCGTGATCGGTGGCCGTTTCGAGGCCATTATGGGCCCCATCTGTGCGAGACTGTTCTATTTTGGCTCGCAAGGACTCTTTCTGACTGCTTCCAGGTGACTGATGCTGGCGGATGGTTGCCTTTTGAAGTGTTGCAGCATTTTTTGCCATAGATCATCTACTATGGAAAAATATGGGAACATCATATTATATATATTTATAATTCTTGGATATATGGATAGGAAACCAGAATCAGAAGCCGAACTTCTGAACTTCTTTGACAGCTAAGCTTCACCGGGGATGATAAGAAAAAGTTCTTGTCCGTGGTCTGTCGCAACGTGTTGGAATGGTGACAGCATGTCATATCCCCGGAAACCCACCACTAACAATAGCAACACAATATCTACAGTAGGTTTCTTTGTCCTAGACACCTCCAAAAAAAATATGCACCAGATTCTATACCCTCGAATAAACTAACATATGGAAAATGTTCCATAAAGATAGATGATGTACCTACTAAACATCTGGTGATTTTCCGTGAAAAATCACTCTCCAGGGTGGATCTCCGTTTTTTTCTGTTCGCCGCCAGGTTAAATCACAGCTGCTTGCCCAACTGCCAGGTGCAAATTGAGGCGCGGATGATGAAGATGGGCATATTCAAACACGTGTGAACAAAAGCTACTTCAATATTTCTATATTTATGCTATTCATAAATAGTTTATTGCAAATATAAATAGTATTTCTACTGAATCAACTATCACAGACACACACACACATGTATATATATATAATCATATATATAATCACATATATATATATATACAGTATATATAATCATACATAAACATATATACATAATTATATCTATATAATCATATATAAACAATAATATATATACATAAACATATATACATAATCATGTACACATAATCATGTATATATATATATATCACATATATATATATAATCATATACATATAATCATATGCATTTAATCATATATACATATAATCATATATATATATATAATCATATATATATATAGTCACATATATATATAATCATGTATATAATCATATATATAATCATATATATAATCATATATATAATCATATATATAATCATATATAATAATCAATATAATCACATATATATAGTATAAACACACATATATATATATAACCATGCATATATATATAATCATACATATATATATATAATCATACTCATATATATATATAATCATATATATATAATCACATATATATATATATGTAATCACATATACAATCGTATACATACATATACATACATATACATATATATATAATCATATATATATAATTATATATATAATCATACATATATATAATTATATATATATATAATCATACACATATATATATATAATCATATATTATACATAATCATGCATATATAATCATATATACATATACTCATGCATATATTATCATATATATATATATACATACTCATATATATATATGTATATATATACATAATCACATATATATATAGCCATATATATATATAACCATATATATGTATATATGTAATCATATATATAATCATATATATATATAATAATATATATAATCATATATGTAATTATATGTATACATATATACACCATATATAAATATAACAATAATAGTAGTAATAATGATAATAGTAGTAGTAATAATCCAAGGAAGTTTAGAAGTCAAACTTCCAACAATATGGACAGATGAAAAGCAGAGCAGGGCAGAGGCAGAGAGAAGAGAAAGATTAGAAGAGAGAAGATCAGAGAAGAGAAAGAGTCAGAAGAAAGAAGATGCAGATGCGCGAAAAGGTAGGAAAGTCGCGAAACACTGTGTTTTTCCAACCTGGGCCCGACTTGCTGCAAGGAGCTTCAGCCTGCAGATTGGACAACTCTCCGCAGCCCTTGGACATGTCGGAGACTATTTGCCCGATGCGGTTGGCAGCCCTCAGTTGGTCTCAGTTGGTTTGCCGAGGGCGTTGGGCACCATGCTATGAAAACAAGCACGCATCTTTGATTAGTTGGGGATATGATGGCCTTAATTACTGTGACGCGTGATGCATTATCTGAGAATCACAGTGCAAAGGTAGTTCTTGCGCTTCAGAAGCTTGTCCTCCAGAGAGCCAGACCCAGAGGAAAGGAATACAGTAATGAATTATGATCAGTTTATTCGCCAACAAGTCTGTTCAAGTCCGCAAACCCTAGTCAGTAGCGTAGTCCTTCTCGATCTCAACAGCATCAATCTTACGGCCGAGGGCTTCGATCCACGAAGGCAAAACTGCCGAGTATTCTGTTGGATCGTAGGGAACACCGTCCTCAAGAGAAACAAGTTTAAGTTCACTGTTTCTGGAAACCATTGGTAATGCCAGGTCCTGTGTGACCGGGCTAAGCATTTCACCTGATGGATATTTGACGAGCGGCTTGAACGAAGCTGCCATGGCCATGGGTCCGGGACCTCTTCGGCACGATGCCCCGAGCTGGGGCCAGGAATCGCGTTAGAAGGCTTCCATCGGGATCCTGCAAAAGCACACGCGCAGGCAATGCTGGGACACGCCGATGGTTGAAGGTGGGATGTGCCCGAAGTCCTCCATTTCAGATGTGTCAGGCTTTCGGGTGTCAAGTTTGGTCCGGTGCCACTTTGCCACCTACCGCTCCTTTGTCAGCAGCAAATTGCGAAGGTTTTAACCTAAGCTGATGAAGAGTTAGGATGGTAAGGATTCGGATGCAAAACATGGCTGCAAATGAGTCATGCATAGTCACACAATGGGTAACTTACAGCCAAAGGTGCGTCCTCATATGCCCTCATCGGTTTTCCACAGGTTCAAGCTTCTTTGGAAGCCACGGCCACGCCTTTGCAAGCAAACAAAACCCATGAGTTGTCGACAGCTCGCCTTATCATTCAAAAAACATGCCACATGTCGAAGCACTCGGCAGCTAAGGCATCCCCGGTGTCCAGTGGTCGAATTGGCTCAATGGTGTTCTTTGCATCAAGACGTGGTCGTGCCAGGTGCCTGGATGGACTGGCAGTGCCTTCCCCTCTAGCCCGGCCCCCCACAGGCCGGGCCAACATCATTCGGCGTGGGAAGATGGGAAGGGTGCGACGGTTGACTGGAAGCGTGAAGTAGGAGCCACTTGGGCAAAGATTCATAAAGATTCATTGATTGGGGCCAGACATCCTCCCCAAGAAAACACAACTGGATTCTGTTCATCAGATTTTCGGCCAGTGTGTTTTGAGAATTGCCCATGCAGATCACATTCATCATTCGTTGTGACCCAGGCTGTTCGCTTGCCTACCTGGGCCCAAACCGACCAGAAGCTGTCAAGATTCCCTGAACATACCTGAACAGTTGGTATAGACACAGGTTCACTTGTCAGTCACAATACCATGACCTGTTTCATCAGAGTTGTACATACCACATCATGCATATGAAATGCAACATGCATCCTACATTCTAGGGAAGTACAGTGCTTCGTGAAGGTTCTGACACTAGATCACCGTTTGACCCAGACACAAGCAGAGCCAAAAACCGAGAGACGATGATGGATCCCTTCAGCGTGGGAGCTGGCTGTGCTGGCCTGTCTTTCAGCTTCAAGCTTACAGTTGGGGGCACGTCAGGAACTGCGTTTGCAGCAACATCCGCAGCGTCGGCCACAGCTGCAGCAACCGCGGCTGCGACAGCGACCACGGCAACAGCTTGCTTGCTGCCTGCTTGTGCGGTGGCTGCCATGGGCCTGGCAGCTTGGAAGCTGCTTGATGCATTTGATGCATTTAATGCATGTGATTTTGATGCCTTGCACGGCACTGAGCCAGTGGAGTGTGCAAAGACTACAAAGCAGGCAAAAAAGGTGCGCAAGCTGCATCAGAAGTGCTTCAAAGCAAAGAAATCAACCTCGCGGAAGGCCTTCCCTGCGGCACAGTTACCTCAGGGTCAGAACAAGCGCATGCTCAATCGCCCAAACATGGAACTTGTCCTCCAGGAAGAGCTAGGCCAAGGTGCGTTTGGCACAGTCGGAGCAGGTAGCTGTCAAAGTGCTTCCACGCGATTTTTTTAGATCCTCCGAGTGGGATATTTTGTCTGATTTGTCAATGCACCGCCACCCGCATATATTGACCATTCGCAGCTGTTTCTTGATCAACGACACATGCTATCTCGTGTCAGAGCTCATCCTCGGCAGCGATCTGGAGACCTTTCTCTTCGGAGATGCCTTGGATGACTATGCTGAGGAACTTCGGTTCCAGGCCGCACAAATTGTGCAGCTGGCCAGATGGGAGATGAAAAATTGCACGCCGTTGTGGCGCGAAGCACATTTTGAAGTCAAAATGTACAAAACACCACATGTTCGCGCCACTTTTGGAGGTTCAGATGTCGAAAAAGTGCACGCCGTTGTGGCGCGAAGCACATTTGAAGTCAAAATGTACAAAACACCACATGTTCGCGCGAAAGTCAGAGTGCAGCATTTCCGGTTTGCAAGTCCAGCTTCTTGTCACATTTTGTTATCCCTTTGACCAGGAAGTGAGTGCAGGTGTGGTGCCACTTTTGCGGCGAGCGGTGTGTGTCATCCTAATTAGTAGTGATTACAATGGGTGCAGCCCGCGCATCCGTTCCTTGATGGGCAGCTGCCCTGATGGGCACGTTTACTCGGGATGCTTAACCTTTGATCATCCATTATGTCTTGGTAAGTTCATGCTGATTGTAAGTCTTGAAATGTTTGCTTGTGGAGAGTGTCCCCCAGATTATCAAAGTCTTTACTTGCGTAGAGTTATGCCTTATAACTTATAAGCATTTATTCATAACACCAATGGTGATAGTAAGTTGACAGTGCAGCGATGCTCACTCGATGCTTCACCAGAGGTGATTAGATTATGGTCATGCAAGGTTGAGTGAATGAGTACGGTTGATAAACCCAAGTCTGTGCACCACTTTTTTACTGCATTCTGGACAGGTTCCGCGTATAAGTTGCCGGGATGTTGGTCCTCGCCAGGCTTCGATGTTGTATTACACTTCCCCTACCACCCCTTGAAGTTCCCTGCCTTGTGCGAATGCCTTGGCCATGACCGAGTGCATGCGCGCAACAGTGATGCCCTCGCTTGCCGTCAGGGTAAGGAGGCTTGGCAGCAATGGAAAGCTGGCCGGTTCGGCATCATCGACCTGAGCGACGCCGTGACCCATGAGGAGCTCAAGGGTGTCGTCTTTACCTCCCAAAACCTTGTCGGTCACTGGAGAGGGATGCTATTTAACACTGACAGCTTGTTCAGATCCAGAGGGAACCGAAAACCAGGCAAAGGCAAGCGCCGTACGGCGCCTGAAGCTTGTGGTATCGACTGCTCCTGCTGAATTCAGCAGGTTCCGCAAGGTGTGGAATGATTATATTGTGAAGCTTCAGGAGGCCAATAGAAAGAATATGATCGACTCTTGATCATTCATTGTGAGGTGAACTTCACCACGCAGAATGATCCGTCCATCATAGCCGCCCATCATGGCAGTGGCAGGCAGAGCAATCTTCTGCTGAATCATTAGACAGCAGAGATCAGGCTGGCAGAGCAATTGGGTGCTCTTTTTCCTCCAGCGAATTTAGGGTCGTGCAAGGGGCACTTTTGGAGGTTCAGATGTCGAAAAAGTGCACGCTGTTGTGGCGCGAAGCACATTCCGAAGTCAAAATTTAAAAGCACCAGGGGATCGGACCACTTTTGGAGGTTCAGATTTCGCTTCACTACACTACACTACATTACACTACACTACATTCCACTACACTACACTACACTACATTACACTACACTACACTCCACAACACTACAACTACAACTACACAACTACACTCCACTACACTCCACTACACTCCACTACACTAAAGTACACTACACTACACTACACTACACTACATTACACTACACTACACTCCACTACTCTACGCTACACTACATTACACTACACTACACTGCACTACACTACAACTACAACTACACAACTACACTCCACCACACTCCACTACACTACACTACATTACACTACACTACATTACACTACACTGCATTACACTACACTACACTACGACACTACGCTACCTTCCACTACACTTCACTACATTGCACTACACTACACTCCACTACACTACAAATACAACTACAACCACACAACTACACTCCACTACACTCCACTACACTCCACTACACTTCACTACACTCCACTACACTAAATTACACTACACTACACTACATTACACTACACTCCACTACACTACATTACACTACACTCCACAACACTACAACTACAACTACACTCCACAGATAGATGGATAGATAGATAGATAGATAGCTAGATAGATAGATAGATAGGTAATTAGATGAAAGAGAGAGAGAGATAGATCGATAGATAGATAGATACATAGAAGATAGGTAGGTAGGTAGGTAGATAGTCAGAGAAAGAGCGAGAAAGAGTGGGAGACCTCAAGCACCTTTCGGTCCTCAGTGGATTCGCTCTGCCACCCCTGATTCACAACAACCAACCTCTCCTATAGGTTTCCTATTTTTGAAACTTCCGCCACCGCCTTGTGCGGTACTACTGGCAATAATAATAGTAATAATGATAAGAATAAAATTAAGAAAAGAACAACAACAACAACAACAACAACAACAACCACAACCACAACCACAACCACAACCACAACGACAACGACAACGACAACGACAACGACAACGACAACGACAACGACAACAACAACGACAACAACAACGACAACCACAATAATAATAATAATAACAATAATAATAACAATAATAATAATAAATAATGATAATAATAATAATAAATAATGATAATAATAATAAATAATGATAATAATAATAATTAATGATAATAATAATAATAACAAATAATGATAATAATAATAAATAATGATAATGGTAATAATAATAAATAATGATAATAATAATAAATAATGATAATAATAATAATAAATAATGATAATAATAATAATAAATAATGATAATAATAATAAATGATAATAATAATAAATAATGATAATAATAATAATAAATAATGATAATAATAATAATACATAATGATGATAATAATAAAAATATAATGATAATAATAATAATAAATAATGATAATAATAATAATAATAAATAATGATAATAATAATAATAATAAATAATGATAATAATAATAATAAATAATGATAATAATAATAAATAATAAAACGAATAATAAATAATAATAATAATAATAAATAATGATAATAATAAAATATATATATAGATATAGATTATATAGCATCATACATACAACATCATATAACATCATATATGCCGTTGATGGCTCCGCATTCTCGGAGCTCCTGACAGGCCAAAGCGCCTGGGTCCCCCCAGTTGTCGCTCTGCACCAAGCAGCAGCTGCAAAAGGGTCAGGAGCGGCGCAAGATGCGCATTTGATGGGTATATCATGGGGATATGATTCGATATGATGGAGATTTGCGAAGCACCTCTAGATTTTCCACGTTTAATCATGACACAAGATATTATCAACACATATCATAATCAAGTATATTTTTGGGTATCACGTTGGAGGATCTGCCAACGACGCGACGACTCGGCAGGAGTTGACCATCGACTACATCTCGGAGTTGCAGCATTTGGACCTCAGCGAGCGAAGGAGTGGTATTGGAGTCGATATCCAGTGACCATTGGGTGTTGCGAATTTTGTTTGAAGCCACTTGAAGTATACTGGCTGGTTAGTAGTGGCTGGTTATATCCTGGGAAACTTTAGCGCCGGCGGCTCTGAGTGTTCAGATGCCCGTTTTGGTGGAACACGAAAATGCAGAAATTTTTATAGCTACACATCTAGAATTTTCCCGGGAGTTCGGGAGGCTTTGCGCATATGTTTTTTTAAGTGAAAGATCCTTGAAGTTCTCAGAACAATTTTTTGGTCTATTTGAGTTGGATATGGGAACTGGCATGCGTGTCACTTAGGAACCGACATATGGCTGTGTTTGAAACTGGGAATCCCCAAACAACAAGTTCAATAGAACATGCTACTCAATCATCCCAGATGGCTGGTTCAATCCCAATCTTTTGTCGAATGGTTTTGCTGAAGTCCGTACTTTTCCGGCTGAAATCACAATGTTTATATATATATAGATCTTTGTGGTTTTCCAGTTTTCTCAGTTTTCTCAGTTGTCCTGCTAAAGTTTCCTGAGTTTCTTAACTCTTAACAAACCCTCCTTTTTTAAGCTGCGCCTTCGCCGAAGGAAACTGTTGGAGCAAGACTATGGCTTCAACTGCAGCTGTCCACGCTGCGCCGGTGCTGCGAGCGCTGCGAGCGCTGCAACGGTGGGGAAGACCCAAGGGACCACGGGTTTTAGCCCAAGTTAACCATCTATTAACATGGTCATTTATTAACCACCATCATTGGTGGTTAACCATAGGTTAGTATGAGAATTAATAATCTAAATTTACCATCTATAGAGGGTTAATTAATCATCTATCAAGCATCTATGAACCATCTATTTAGTCAATTTAAAGTATTAACCATCTATGAACCATGTAAGTCTGTAGCCAATTTTGACTTGTACCCGAATGGACCTTTCAGGCCAAGGTTATTTGGACATGTTGCCATGACACAAGAACTGAATGTTGAGACGAGTGATTGGTTGCAGCAAGGCATTTTCCAAAGCTGGGAACTCGGGAACTCGTTGGTTTCGTTGGTTTCGGAGGAGTTCCCAGCTTTTAAAGACCATGGTCATCACCATTCGTATTTGGGTCCCTGAGAAAATACAGCAGATCTCACCTTCATGTGGATGAGTCCTGTTTTTATCGAGGCGGACAGTGGGCTATATGTACAACCCATCGATGTTGCTCTGGTAGAGTTTTCACTCATCTGGATAAAATATACCCGGCCTGGTAAACTCACGTAGCTATGGAAAGATCCACCATGCTATTCATGGGCAAATCCACTATAAATGGCCATTTTTCATAGCTATGTAACAAATTACCGGAGGGTAGCTGGATCTTAAGATAGCCAGTTCCTCATTTCCCTCGGGTTTATCCAACGGCCCCATCTCGATCTGAGGAAGAAGAAGAGGAGTCCTGACTCGTCACGCCACGCAAAAGCGAAGATGGATGGGGGAACTGCTTGAACTGCTGGAGGTAGCCCCTTTAGTGATCTAAAAACGTTTGCGAACTGGAAGCCTTGGTCCATTTAGTATGATAAATGATGATTTAGCTATTAAATTTATAATGGTGATTTTCCAGTTCGCAAGATATTGAAATTATCCATGCATCCATGAGATTTCCATTCACCTAGATGATTTTCCCAGCTATGAACCTCCATTTAGTTGGGGTATTTTCCAGTTTGCAAACGTTGGGTTCTCTGAAAAAAAAGAATCCATGAGTTATCCATTTTGTAGATCGTTTTCCCAAGGAAGGCATGGGTTAAGCAGAGATTTTCATTCAATAACGGTTCATGTTAGTAAAGCAATGTCGTAAACCAGCTATATTTTGGTTTATACAACCCATAAAAATGGTACCCTCCAGCAAATTGACAGTTCGACCCTGGCAGATAGGGGTTGGAAGATTAGTTTCCACTAAAAAATACTTATTTTCAGAGTCTATTGTAATTGTAATTTACTGGAGGGCATATCACCATTCATCACCATTGATCATTATCATGATCATTAACCACATTATAACCTCGCTAGCTATCATTAACCATTCATTTAACCACTATATATTATAACCATGAAATGTGCATAACCATTGATATCATTGATCATTAACCATTTATATAACCATTTTCCATAGATTAACATAGATTAACCATTTAACCATTCATTAACCATAGACTTTCCCATGAATTTCACATCGCTGACTTGTCCGGGATCCCATTAGGGTGGGGCGGGGCTTGCCAGCGCGCCAGGCCCTAGGTCTAAGAGAAGGCCCCGTGGTGGTGGATCCGCGCTTCGGACGCCCTGAGGACGGCGGCCATCGGCTGCGATTTTTATGGGTGACATGTCTAAAGGATTTGTAGGTGATTTTGGAGAATCATGGGATATATATATACATATACTATACATATACTATATATATATATATATTGCAAATGGGATGTAGATGGGAGTACAGTATAACTAATTCCCATATATTTCAATGGACCTTTGGCCAAACGCAATGTTTGGCTCAAGACCCCAACGCAGACAATAAAAGATCGCTGCTCTCTGCAATGTTCGCATGAAACGTTGGAAACAGCTCAGCAGGAACTCAAACTGACCAAACAATTGATCCGGAACAGGGATTAAGCTGTTCACAGGTTATCAGCCGTAAGGGCTCTCAACCTCCATCGGAGGCGGAGTACCTGCGTGCTGTTAACCAACGTCGGGTGCAAAAGATCGTGAAATCCGATCAGCACCAGCATCGCAAAGATGCAAGGCGACAGCGGAGAGACGCAATTTACCTTTGACGGCAACGCCGCAGCCCCTGCAGAAGGTATCTCACAATCTTCTCCAGGAACAGCTGACAGCGGGGAAAAGTCGACAAGGACGACAAAATCTGGATGGCAAAAGATGACTTCTAGACATCGAAGAGCATCAACCACTAGTACTCCGAGATCGGCACGTAATGTGGCTCGAAGTGGGAATGCACGACGAAGCCACCGATCACCGAGAAGGACACCTACCGGACACAGAACCCCGAGGGCAGTCGAGGACAAACATGGTAGGGAGTCAAGTGATGTCAGTGCCAAAAGGAGATCAACAGAAGCACGTGGTAGCAGTGAACCAATAGCTATCATTGAAGAACTGAGAGAACAGTGTCAAATTCTGAGAGAGAAAGTGACACAAACCGAGATGTACGCTGCTTCAAGGGACCAAGTCATTAAGGACATTGAGGCCAAGTTCACCGAATATCTTCGCGGACATAATCAACAGGTATTCAATGAAATTAACACCCTCAACAAACGATTGATGTACTCTACGAATGAAGTATCTGAATACCATGCTGAGTTGATGTTAGCCTCCAAGGAAGATGAAGGTGCAACCATTCGTATTGAAGAACTTGAACGTCGAGGTGCACTCGCCGAACATGGTGCCAGACGAATCCACCAACGTGGTATTGAGATCCAGGAAGAGTACGAGGACGAGGTGCACCACCTTCAAGGACTACTTGGGCATACTGAATCACGCCTTCAACAGATGCAACATGACAGTAGCCTTGCTAGGAGTGTAGCCGAAACATTGTACAAGGAAGGAAACGAGATGCAGAGAAATCTTGAAAGTTCCATAGTAGAATATCGTAGTCAATCTGAACTGGCAAACTTCTCACATACTCATTTGGAGATGACAAGTCAAAGGCAAGCCTTTGTTGTCAATGAGCTCACTGATGAGAACCAGATGTTGAGTGAAGCAATCATTCATTCCCGTAAGCAAGCCGAGCTGTATGAAAACAACATGGAGCAGATCACTAGAGAGTATCGCAAGAAAATCAATGAAGCCAACAATGCCAAACTGGAGAGTGATCTACGTCATCGAAACACAGAACATGATACAGTCAAACGGTTTGCAAATTACAGGAATACTGAAGCTGAGGCTATTGCTCAATTAAGGTTTGAATCAAGCGTCAGCTCAAATGCTCGCGAGAAGATGGAACACTATGAAATGCTATACAACAATGAGCGAGCGCTGACGAATGAGCTCAAGACAGAGATTGAGGACCGAAACGTCAAACTGAGACGATCTCTTCAGGAGGGCCCAATGGCCATCGGCCACGGTTCTAACCAACATGCTATACAACATCTCGAAACTGAGGTTAAGGTCGCACAGGTTAGGGCCCAAGATCTTTCTGAAGAAATGGATGAATGTATGTACACAAACATCAGACTGAAGGATGAATTGGCCGAGGTTTCGAGGCAAGGGTCTTCGACCCCCTTCGGATCCGAGGTCGCCATCCTTAGGACAGAGCTTGAGAGTGAACGTAACTACAAGCTAGCCACAGGAGCCCAACAATACGAACGATCATGTGAATATTTGGGTGAGCTGAGAGATAGGGATGAGAAATTGGTGATGAAAGATGCGGAGATATCCATCTTAAGGAAAGGTCTCATAGACGCAGAGATAGCCATCAAAAGCCAAGAGAATCTCAATGCACTTCCCTTCTCTGCAGGTATCACAAGCAGTGCCCTGTCACCCTATATGATGATCGGCAAGTTGGAGAGTGAGGTTGAGGCAGCAAATGATGAGTCAAATATTCTACGTGCCTGGATTCGACAGCTTGATGACGAGCTCAACAAAGAATCTGCAACAGCTCATTCTAACACTGCTGCGGGTACAGGACATGCACATCAGCAACCCTCACATCCTGAGAATCAGAGAGTGACCGAACTCTTGCGTGAGGTCAACAAGAAGATTCTGGATGGGAAAGGGGTCAGCGTGGATGAAGGAGCAGGAATTCCCAATTATCGGAGACCTGACGGCAATGATGATCCTGACTTCCCAGATGGGCCTCCTGATCCTAACGGGCCTCCTGGACCTCCCAATCCACCTGGTTTGCCTTCACTCCGTGGATCGCAGAGGGATTCAGCAATTGATTTGGAGTCTACGACTGCTTTCACCGCTGAAGAACCTCCAAGGATATCCAGACGGGAGGCGGACAAAGTCTATGTCAGTCCGTGGCCAAAGCACCAGAATTTGGGCGTTTGGCAATCTGATCTGATTAAAAGTGTATGCCTCGCTGCCAACGACGGCGATCGAGCCGCATGGGAAGCTTGGTTACAACCTGCGCTCAGGCAAAACCCTGACATCGATGCTCTGAATGATAGCGGAGGGCAAAGGTTTCAGTCGATTGATGCGAAGCTTTCTATTGCACTATCAAACGTTATTTCGCAAGCTGGTGATGTAGCTCGACATGTTGCAATCAAGCTTCGACTGAGAACCCAAGCCAGCAATCGGAGATCAACCTTTGTCATGGGGCGGGAGATTCTTGCCATGATTCTGGAGCATTTCAGGACACCAGGTCAACGTGAAACTGCCTTCACTATGGAGCATATCATTCAATCACGATACCTTGGTGATGCCAACATTGAGACGTTCTACGAAAAGTGGATGGAGATTGTCTCCAACATGATGCCTGAGGACGTGCCCCAAGATGATTGGTTGCGTGATGCACTGTATAAGAAGATCAGAAACTCCAATTTGATGATGTATGACATCAAGCAATATGAATCATGGTTGGAGGGAGATCCTAGAAGAACTTATCAGTATCTCATCAACGCGATTGAGCGCCACATTGCCAGGATCAGAGAAGACAAGCATGTCGCGGCCAGGGAAAAGTATGCCAGAGATTTCGCCGGCGGTGGTAGGCCGACCGCGCCTACTCCTACTGCTCCAGCTCCTCCTGATGCAAACGCCAAAGCGAAAGCGAAGGCCAATGCAAAGGAAAAGGCCGCTCCGAAGCCCAAAGCAAAGTCTGATGCTGCTCCTGTACTACCATCACCTCAACCGAAGCAACATGCCAAAGGAAAAGGGCAAGGAAGAAAAGGAAAATCAAAGAGCCGAAGTGCCAGTCCTCGCGACAAAAAGAAGATACCATGTCACTTCCACTTCATCAAGAAATCTTGCAGGAAAGGAAAGGACTGTGAGTACAGCCATGATCAAAAGGTGTTTGACGCCAGCAAGAGCGGTGGACATGGTAAAGGGGGCGGCAAGACGCCCAGAGGACAATCCCCAGCTAACAAGACCAAGAAGATCGACGAGCCATGTTGGCACTGGGCAAAAGGGAAATGTCGATATGGTGACAAGTGTAACAAACGACATGACGCTCATTTGTTCAACACTGCACCAAACACAGAATCTCCATCGTCCTCAAAAGCGGCCCCTGCACTTCTCCACGATGACAGCGACGTAGATGAGCCACCTTTCATGATCGCTTCCAATGTAATGAAGAAGAAGGTGAAGTTCAATCCACAGAAGAATGAAGTCTATGTCTATGAGAAGAAGGACTATGTGAGGTGCTCACGAAAGTCCCAAACTCATTCTAAGGGGCACAACAAGTTGTGCAGAACCACTGATGAGATTAGAAAAGATGAACAGTGGGCCTACTCTT